CAATAGATAGTGTAGCTTGTACCTTTTTTCCTTGTGTGAAATACAGCTTTGAAAAATGCCTCTCTTGGTCTCTTACATAACTTAAGTGAGTGAATTAATTTGGGGACACTAACATTATTTTTATTAATTTTTCCAGAAAGACATTGCATCTTTGAAAATGAACCACAAGCTTTGATGACTTCATGTCACTACTAGCTAAGGTTTTCTTACAGTAGCAGCATGGTTTTTCTGGGCTCCAGGGAAGCAGGAGGAAGGCAGTGCCAGGGACAGCTGGCACGATTCCTCTTTCTGTCGATGATGGGGATGTGGCCTTTCAATCATGAGCCTTGCTTAATTTGGTCCATGAACCAGGAGAGTGTCGTATTTGTAAACATTCTCTTCAAAAAAGGGAAAAGGTTCTAAGTGTATATTTGTCCAGATTGGTAATATCCACAGAAAAAAAAAAAAGAAAGAAAAAAGAAAAAATTGGCTTTCTTGTACTTCTGGCTGGGTCCTACCTGACTTGCAGGGTTCACTGGAGACTTGGGCCCCAGGAACAAGAGAAGAGCCCAAAATGACAGGCTGGGCCTGTTTCTGCCTGGGCCCCTGCCATGCTTCACGCTTCTGTTAAGGTCTGTATCCTTTGTCAAAAAAAGTTAGGAATTTATATGGTGTATGGGTGTATGTATGTGTGTTTACTACACACAAATCCAAAACCTATTTCCAGAGGTAGAACAGCACACTAAGGACTAGGAGTTAATAAAGTGGTTGGTTCCATCAATCTCCATTTTCAGATATTCATTATTGTATTTTCTGGTCATATTTTATTTTTTAAGTACTTATGCTACATCACTGTAGGTACAGATTCACTTGTCCCAGCACACAGAGTTATGTCCCCACTTAAGTCACCTCTTTTATTTATATTTACAACATCAGTGTGAGTGGTACTACATTTTCAAACTTTTCTGTGGCTTTATTGAGGTGAGTTGATTTATAATAAACTGCACATATAAAGAGTATATCATTTGATAAGTTTAACAGATGTGTACACCCATGAAACCGTCGAGAAACCATTTTGCCATCAAGATAATGAACATATCCATCACCCTCAAAAATTACTTTGTGCCTGTTCGTAATTGTACCCTCCAGCTCTCTAACCCTCCATCCCCAGGCAGTCACTGATCTGCTTCCTATTATTGTAAATTAGTCTGCATTTTCTGGAATTTAATACAAATGGAATCATATAGAACGCACTCTTTCTTGTCTGGCTTCTTTCACTCACCGTCATTGTTTTGAGATTCAAACATGTTGTATGTATTAGTAGTTTTTTCTCCCATTTTTATTGTTGAGCAGTGTTCCGTCATATGGACATACAGCAATTTCTTTATCTTGTTGATGGACATTTGTGTTGTTTTCCGTCAGTGGCCACTACAAACAAAACTATTACTAACGTTAATGAACAGATCTTTAAATGGGCATATGCTTTAATTTCTCTTGGGTACACACTTAGGAGTGGAATGGTTGCATCATATAGTAGATGTATTTTTAACTTTTTATAAAAGTGTCAGACTGTTTTACAAAGTGTTTGTATCATTTTCCATTCCTTTCAGCAGTGGATGAGAGTTCCACTTGCTCCACATCCTTGAAAGAATTGGTATGGCCACTCTTTTAATTTTCAAGTTTCTAATAGTGGATAGTGGAATCTCATTGTGTTTTTTTTTTTTAACATCTTTATTGGGGTATAATTGCTTTACAATGGTGTGTTAGTTTCTGCTTTATAACAAAATGAATCAGTTATACATATACATATGTTCCCATATGTCTTCCCTCTTGCGTCTCCCTCCCTCCCACCCTCCCTATCCCACCCCTCCAGGCGGTCACAAAGCACCCAGCCAATATCCCTGTGCCATGCGGCTGCTTTCCACTAGCTATCTACCTTACGTTTGTTAGTGTATATATGTCCATGCCTCTCTCTTGCCCTGTCACAGCTCACCCTTCCCCCTCCCCATATCCTCAAGTCCGTTCTCCAGTAGGTCTGTGTCTTTATTCCTGTCTTTACCCCTAGGTTCTTCATGACATTTTTTTTTCTTAAATTCCATATATATGTGTTAGCATACGGTATTTGTCTTTTTCTTTCTGACTTAACTTCACTCTGTATGACAGACTCTAGGTCTATCCACCTCATTACAAATAGCTCAATTTCGTTTCTTTTTATGGCTGAGTAATATTCCATTGTATATATGTGCCACATCTTCTTTATCCATTCATCTGATGATGGGCACTTAGGTTGTTTCCACCTCCTGGCTATTGTAAATAGAGCTGCAATGAACATTCTGGTACATGACTCCTTTTGAATTCTGGTTTTCTCAGGGTATATGCCCAGTAGGGGGATTGCTGGGTCATATGGTAGTTCTATTTGTAGTTTTAATTTGCATTTCCCTAATGTCTAATGATGTTCATCTAATAACCCTTGACTGATGCGTATGCACTTATTTACCATCATGTATCTTTTTTGGTGATATATCCATTCAAATGTTTCATCCATTTTGAATTTTTAAAATTATTTTTTATTGTTTTAGACTTCTTTATATATTCTGGATGTGGTTTCATTGATTTTTCTCTATTGTTCTTCTGTTCTGTTTCATCAATTTCAATCTAATTTTTACTGTTTCCTTCCTTGTGCTTACTTTGTCTTTATTTGTTCTTTTTATTTTTTTTCTAATTTGTTAAGAGATAAGCCGTGGTCATTGAACTGAAAATTTTCTTCTTTCTAAAATATCAGTATTTAGTGGTGTAAATGTCCCCTTCGATACTGCCTTAGTTGCATTCCAATAACTTTTGATATGTTGTATTTTCGTAATCATTAAGTTCAAAATACTAATTTCCCATTCTGATGTCTCCTTTGACCCATGAATTATTTTAAAATGCAATCCAGAGCTAGAATTAAAGGTAAATGTAAATGGGGAAATAAACACCCACAGCAGATCTTGCTCTGGAGTGCAAGTCAGTGTGGACAGTTGGGGAGAGACTAAACAAAGTGGGAAAATACCAGAACAGGTCCGAGTTCTCTTAAGTTGGAACACAGTTACTGAAGACTTGAAATAAACAGACTCAAAAATGTGCAAAACTAGAGCAGCAGTCCAGGGAAGGCTCCATTTCTGCAGTTGTCTTGAAAAGGATGGGCATCTCTGGGTGGCTTCGTGGCAAAGATGAGGAAGGAAGCAGGTAGAAGAAATAAACAATACTATACAAACAAAAGAGGACTGATGAATTGGAAGATACTCCAACTTTCTCTATTTATGATTCTATCCCCAAGTAAATTGTACTCTCTGTAGCAAGAGAGAAGGATACTGTTCAACTAAGAAACCCAGCAGACTAATCCAAAAGTTTTAACCTTCCTACATAGAAGGAGGTCAACTGCTAATCTGGAAAAAGAGAAGACATTTTAAAATGAAAGGAAATCAACTGCTAATCTAGAAAAATGGAAGACATTTTAAAATTAAAGGAAATCAAATCAAAATTAAAGGGCCACACAAAACAACTCTAAATAGAAATTGAAAATAAGAATCAACTTATTTAGCTAACGAAAACATTTGCCTAAAATGAAAATGAAACAGGAAAATGGTAGGAATTAAATACTACTAAAAAAACACTTGCAAATAAAGAACACCTTGATTCAAAATTTACAACTTTGATTCAAAAATAAAAACTCCCAAGAGAAATGAACAAAAATATTAAAAGAACAAGATGAAATGACGTGATCAAATCAGGAAAGAATTTGAAGTAAAAGGACAAGTAATCGGATGAATGAAGACGAAATTATAGGTGCCCAAAGGATAGTGGACTGAAGTAATAAAACAGAAAAAAAAAGAAGTAAATACAATTAAGAAAGAGGGTAGAAGAATCTGAAAAACAAGTTATAAAAGATAGGTAAAGAAGATCCAGAACACCTATTATTGGAATCTCTGAAGAAGAAAAACAAAATATAGAATGAAACCAATACCTAAAATTGTAATCCAAAAAAAAATCTGTAAATAAAAAAATGATCTGTATCTATATATCAAAATGTTACACTGTAAGTTTGGAAAATTGACCAGTAACCAACAGCTCTGGCACATATCCTGGTGAAACTTTTAATCTTTAAAAATAAAGAAAAAAAAAAAAACCTCTGGCCTCCAGGCAAAAAAATCATATAGCTGACAAAGGAAAGAGAAACAGTGTGGCATCAAACTTCTTTCCATCAACCTACAAAGCAAGAACAAAGAGGAGCATCATTTTTAAACAACTCAAGGAAAAAAAGTGATAGCCAAGGACTTTATGTCCAGACAAACTGTTCTTCATATATCAGAATTACAAAAAACAGTTTTAATACAGTTGGCCCTCCCTATGTGCTGGTTCTGCATCTGTGGATTCAATCGAGGATCAAAAATATTTGGAAGAAAAAAAAAATCCAAAAAGTTCCTAAAACCAAAACTTGAATTTGTGGCACACCGGTAACTATTTATATAGCACATACATTGTATTAGGTATTATAAGTAATCTAGAGATAATTTAAAGTATATGGGAAGATGTGCATAGACTATGTAGTATTTGCAAATACTACGCCATTTTATAGAAGGTGCTTGAGCATCCGTAGAATTTGGTATCCATGGGGGATTTGTTCCAGGACCTGTGGATACCAAGGGATGAGTGTATTCAAAAACTCAGGGGATACCGTACTCAGAGCCCTTCCTGAAGAATCTATGACAGATGAGCTTTGTCTCTACCAAGAGTGACTGGGGAGCTTTGGCAAGATGTGATGACTATGACCACTGAACGAACCACTTCCACTCTGCCCTTGCCTGGAAGAAGGTATAAGTTCTGCTCTGCCTCCCCTCCATACTAGCTTGACTTTCAGAAATGAGGCCCAAATGGGCAGACCTGAGATCAACCAGGCAGAGATGTTTTCTATGTTAATGTTGCCTGTGTGTGAGCACTAAATCTTTAAAAACTAACTGGAAATACCTTGCTCATTTCAACAGCGAAATATGTTCTCTGTGGATTCCATCCCCAGTCGTGGCTGCTTAAGATAATAGACAACTGAATTATAGAAATGAAAGGCGGGAAAAGGCAGGAGTCTACAGGCTGCCCATGAAAATTTGCAGAGGAGAATTTATGAATTTGAGTTATACAGACAGGAGCAGACTGTCTTGCATAGAGGAAACAACAAAGAAGGTGAGAAGTTTTAATTGTTCCCAGTGTTTATCTCGTGGGTATTTGAATGCCTCTGTTGCCTGACAAAGACAGTGTTCGGTGCCCTTCCATATTATGTTAAATTGGGGGAGGGATGTGTTCCTCGAGTTTCAGAAATACCCTAAGCGCTCATAGCGTCCTTGGTGCCAGTAGGAGGTATGGGCATCCCTGAATGGTTTTAAGGGTTTCCTCCCTCTGTTTATATTCCTTTTGAAATAGACCCTTGCTATTCAAAGTGTGCCTAGTACCAGCAGTACTGGCATCATTGAGGAGCTTGTTAGAGATGCAGAATCTGTCTGCATTTCTAAAGTATCTTAAGCTTGAATATACATACAAATTATCTGGAGATCTTGTTAAAGGTAGATTTTGGTTCAGAAGTCTGGGGTGGGGCCCAAGATTCTGCATTTCTAACAAGCTCTCAGGTGATTTCAATGTTTCTGGTCCTCGGGTCCTTGCGATACACTAGATCACTTATACTCAGTTCCCTTCCAGAAGGGGTTTGTTGAAGGAACCTTTTCTGATGTTCCCTGGCAGGCTAGTGTGTCCTGTGTTTCCCTATACATATCTAAAAAGAGCAATAAGCCATCATAAGTGGAGAGGATCTCCTGAGGACCCAGAACTAGGTTTTGTCTACAGTGGTTATTCCTAGACTAAATTTCCCTTATCTAGTCTTCTCAGGAAATCACATAGAATCAGGAATCACAGTTATCCATACCTATCTTGAAGTTTTTAGTGACCTCTTGACTATTGTGCAGATTCAAGAAAGGGCTCTTAATGTATAGCTGAATTTATTATGTAAGACATTAGTAGGAATATAATATAGTGAAATCCAACAAACAAAAAACACTGCTACTTCATCTTGATTGCTTATCAAATCACATAGGGCCTTCTAAAAAATGTCATTTCCTAAGCCTAACCTCAGAGATATCGAATCTAAATCTTTACAGGCAACAAGTATTTGCATTTTTAAAAACTTCACGGGGGCTTCCCTGGTGGTGGAGTGGTTGAGAGTCCGCCTGCCGATGCAGGGGACGTGGGTTCGTGCCCCGGTCTGGGAAGATCCCACATGCCGCGGAGTGGCTGGGCCCATGAGCCATGGCCGTTGAGCCTGCGCGTCCGGAGCCTGTGCTCTGCAAACGGGAAAGGCCACAACAGTGAGAGGCCCACATACCGCAACAAAACAAAACAAAACTTCACGGGTGATTCTGATGCCAAGATAGTTTCAGAACACTATTCTGTGTAAATTATTCTCCTGGAATTATATAACCTGGTGGTACAAGATCAAACTGACAAAAAATGGGCAAGAATAATAAGAATTGGAGATTCAAACAACCCAGTTATCAAGCTTGGTCTAATGGAGAAATACAGAACTCTGCACTCAGTAACTGGAAAATACATATTTCTTTTCAAACACATACGTAATAATTACAAAAACTGTCCACAAACTAAGCTATTAATCAAGTCTTAACAAATGCAAAAGAATGATTAGTATACAGATCATATTTTCTATCAACAATTAAACTCAATTTTTACTGAAAAAGCCCCACAGGCTCAGAAATTTAAGATACATACTTCCAGACAATACATAAGTCAAACAAAATCATAATGAATATTAGAAAATGCTTAGAATGGAAAAATAATAAAACCACGAAATGTTGACGTTTGTAGGATGAAGACAAGTGGTAATTCAAGCTCATTAGGAAAAAAAAATCTAAAAATCTATAAACTAAGAGTTCAACTTAAAAAACTTGGAAGTGAATAGCAGACAAAAGAACAGAAAAAAGGAAATGTAATGCAAATGCAAATTTGGTTCTTCTAAAAGATCACTTGAAAAATACTCAGAAAAAATGACAAGAAAAGGGGAAAAAGCGGTATTAAGAATAAAAAGAGGGCATGTCTAACTGTACAACAAAGATTAAAAGTTAACAAGGTAATGCATAAATGGGACTTGTCTGTATATGTGAAAATCAAAACAAAGTTACCAGAAAATAAAATTTATCAAAATTGAACCAAGAAGAAATAAAAACCAACAAAATTAAACCTGTGGCTAAAAACAATCTCTCCATCCAAACATCAGCAACAACAACAAGAAGAAAAAAAGACCAAGACCATTTTATATTTAAATCCTAACATACACTCAAGTAACAGACAATTATAATAGTATATAAATTTTACTAGATAATATAATCTTATTTTGTAAAAATAACAGCAAAACCATATGAAGATGGTGTAAGAAAGAAACTTATAGGCCAATCTCACTCATGAACATAGATGCAAAATTTTAAAATATTTTTGTTAAATTAATCCATAGTATATAAGAAAGATAGTATATAATGCCTGATATTAATTATCCAAGGAAAGTATGAATGATTTTACATTAGAACATTATTATTGTATTTTACCTCATTAAAGAACTAAAGGAGAAAAAACACATCAATAGATACAGAGAATCTATCCATAATGTCCATATGCATTGAATAATAAAAATTTCTAGAAAACCAGGAGGTATTGAATTGGCCAAAAAGTTCATTTGCGTTTTTCCTTAACTGAATCTGCTAATGGGTATCTGTCAACAACTGCATATAATATATTCAGAGGTGAAAGTCTAGAACCATTTTCTTTAAAATGAAACACAATATAAGTAGCTTGAGTCTTGTTCTGGAGGTCCTAGACAGTTCAGTAAGACAAGAAAAGAAGAAAAATTCATAAAAGTAGAAGAAAACTGTCATTATTCACATAGGATATAAATGTAAATATAGCTAACCCTAAAGATTCTATTGGTGAATATTTATAAATAATAAGAATTATTTGAAAATTTGCTACACATAAATTCTATATCCAAATATAAATAATATTTCTATATGCCAGCCACAAAGAATAGAAAATGTTATTATTTTAAAAGGTGAATTTAATAAGAGCAACCAAAAATGTAATGGATCAAAGAATATATCTGACAAAGAATACACAAGACCTCTATTAAGAAAATTATAAAATTTTATTATATTAAAGAAAATAAAATTGATGATGAAATATACCAAGTTCAGGGAAAGGGAGACGCAATAATTTAGAAATGTCATGTCCCACACAAAGGACCCCTTTGATTTCAATAACAGTCCTAACAGAATTTTTCCTGGAATCTAACAAGGTGATTATTAAACTTATTAAGAGAACAATGTCAAGTAGAATTGAAACACACTTCAAAAGGAAGAGAAAGTTGATGGAAAATACTCTACTGGATATCACAACTTCTTATAAAGCTATTAGTATTGTTAGTTAAGGAATAGACAACTAAAACAATAGAAAAGGACTTAAGAGTCTAGAAACAGATAAAACTTAAACTGTGTTGGAGCCAGTGTGGCAGACTTTTATGAAAGATAACTATATAAAACAGTTGTGTTGGGACAGTCGATTATATACATGGAGAATAATATTAGGTTCATATCTTACATAGTTCACAAAAATCAATTCTGGATGAATTGAATACTTTAGTCAAAAAGGAAATCCTTTAAAAATTTCCTGGGTTTAGAGGGATTGATTCAAGATGCTGGAGTAGAAGGACGTGCGCTCACTCCCTCTTGCAAGAGCACTGGGATCACAGCTAACTGCTGAACAATCATTGACAAGGAGACACTGGAACTCACCAAAAAAGGCACCTCACATCCAAAAACAAAGGAGAAGCCGCAATGAAGTGGTAGGAGGGCCGCAGTCACAGTAAAATCAAATCCCATAACCGCTTGGTGGGTGACTCACAAACTGGAGAAAAATTATTCCACAGAAGTCCACCCACTGCAGTGAAAGTTCTGAGCCCCACGTCAGGCTTCCCAACCTGGGTGTCCGGCAGTGGGAGAAGGAATTCCCAGAGAATCAGACTTTGAAGGCTAGCAGTATTTGATGGCAGGACTTCAGCAGGACTGGGGGGAACAGAAACTCCACTCGTGGAGGTTACACACAAACTAGTGTGTGAATCAGGATGTGGGGGAAAGAGCAGTGACCCCATAGGAGAATGAACCAGACCTAGCTGCCAGTGTTGGAGGGTCTCCTGCAGGGCGGGGGGTGGCTGTGGCTCACTGCAGGGACAAGGACACAGTCAGCAGAAGTTCTGTGAAGTACTCCTTGGTGTGAACCCTCCCAGAGTCTGCCATTAGCCCCACCAAAGAGCCTGTAGGCTCCAGTGCTGGGTCACCTCAGGCCAAACAACCAACAGGGAGGGAACTCAGCCCCACCCATCAGCAGAAAAGCTGATTAAAGTTTTACTGAGCTCTGCCCCCCAGAGCAACACCCAGCTCTACTCACCACCAGTCCCTCCCATCAGGAACCTTGCCCAAGCCTCTTGATAGCCTCATCCACCAGAGGGCAAACAGCAGAAGCAAGACGACCTGCAATCCTGCAGCCTGTGGAACGAAAACCGCATTCACAGAAAGACAAAACGAAAAGGCAGAGGACTGTGTACCAGATGAAGGAACAAGATAAAACCCCAGAAAAACAACTAAATGAAATGGAGATAGGCAACCTTCCAGAAAAAGAATTCAGAATATTGATAGTGAACATGATCCAGGACCTAGGAAAAAGAATGGAGGCAAAGATCAAGAAGATGCAAGAAATGTTTAACGAAGACCTAGAAGAATTAAAGAACAAACAAACAGGGATGAACAATACAAAAACTGAAATGAAAAATACACTAGAAGGAATCCATAGCAGAAAAGCTGAGGCAGAAGAACAGATAAGTGACCTGGAAGACAGAATGGTAGAAATCACTGCTGCGGAACAGAAAAAAGATTGAAAAGAATCGAAGACAGCCTAAGAGACCTCTGGGACCACATTAAACACACCAATATTCACATTATAGGGGTCCCAGAAGGAGAAGAGAGAGAGAAAGGACCTGAGGAAATATTTGAAGAGGTTATAGTAGAAAACTCCCCTAACATGGGAAAGGAAATAGCCACCCAAGTCCAGGAAGCGCAGAGAGTCCCAGGCAGT